CGCGCTGCTGCGGCGCTTCAGCCTGCCCGCGGCCGCGCCCGGGGAGCGCAGGCCCCCGGAGGCGGTGGCGGCCGGGTGCGCGCAACACGGCGAACCTCTCAAGCTCTACTGCCAGGACGACGGACGCGCCATTTGCGTGGTATGCGACCGCGCCCGCGAGCACCGCGCGCACGCCGTGTTGCCGCTCGACGAGGCGGTGCATGAGGCCAAGGTGAGCGCCGGCCCCACGCTTGCTGGTCCCCGGGACCCCCGTCCGGGTCCTGCCTTCCCGCGCACGCAGTGCAGACGACAGGCAGGCAGGAGGCCCGGGTGAGCCAGTACTGACTCCGAGGCTGAGCGCGGCTCTCCCTCTGTCACCCGCACAGCGAAAGTACTATCCTCTCCCACCCACCTCCGATTTCCCTCTGGGCCCCATGCTGGTCCGGCTGTGCGATGCTCCACAGACTTGGAGATTTTCAGTCTGTAAGTCCCTGGCCTCTAGCCCTGTCTCCGTCACACCCACACGACCGCTGCCTCTATTCTCAGCCCTTTCCCTGGGCGTGGCTCTGTTAACGTCCCCACCTTCGGGGGCCGAGTGGGACGACTCTCCCAAGAGGTCGGGCTAAGGGGGTGGCTCCTGGGTCGAGTGGAGAGCCCAGAGCCAGTGGAGAGCCCAGAGCCATCTGGGCTGTGTCAAAGCTGTCGATTCTGGGCGCCCCCTTTCCTGCCTCCTGGGGTGTGCGCGGAGGTCTCGGGCACACAGTCTCCAGTCTTCCTTTGCTCCTTACTCTGCTTCAACCCTCCCACCCAAAGGGTTTTCTGCTGGCGGGGAGGAGAGCAGAAGAGAGGACAAGGCAGGTTGGGCTGCTGGAGGCTTGCGTTTCAGCTTGGATCGTGCGCAGACGATCTTGGGGAAGTGAGACCCTGGGGCCTTTCGAGTCACCCTGCAGTTTCTCTGTATCCCTCTGTGCAGTCTGCGCCGGCTGTATCCATCCCGAGGTCCAGAGATGGCTTGAACTCGGCCTCCTCCTCATCCTGCTCCAATGAGCAGGGCCTTCCCTTTCTCCTGCACGGCTCCAGGAAGGCACATTTGGGGGTCTCCAGAGTCCCCTCCCCGCAATGCCTCCCTTCTTATCCTCCCGCAGGAGGTCCTGGAGTCCAGGCTGAAGGTCTTGAAGAAGGATCTGGAGGACTATGAGGCATTTAGTTCCACTGAAGAGAAGGAGAGCAAGGAGCTCCTGGTGAGCTGAGCAACTCCCAGGTGGGCCCTCTGGGTGACAACAGAGGGCCACCCACCCCCCTGGCTCTGTGAATGTGCTATTGGAGTGTGTGTCTGTGGAACAGCAGAGGTGGATTTAGAAAGATAATAGGATGCATATTATATAGCCTGCCCATATAATTTATTATATAACGAGAGATTTTGAGAGTGGAAAGGAGTGCTGCAATAATCATTCTAGAACAGCTGGCTTAAACTGGAAGTGTCCCAGTGAATCAGGATGTATAGTCACCCTAATGTTACATAACACCCAAATTAGGGCCTGTGGAGCATCTTGTAATTGAATGTATTAATGTTTCTGCAGAGAAATATTTGAATATTCATATCAAGTGGGAACATAAATACAGTAAATGGCCTCATGTCAATACAGGGCATGTTTTGCCACCAAAGGGTTATGAAAAACGTTTTTTTCATTTTTAGAGGTTTTTAGGTTTTGGAATTGGGGCTAAGGAAGAAGGGGCTCAGGAGGTGTCAGAGCTGCTCCCCACCCACCAGAGGGCAGGAGGTCTGGGCACTTGGGTTTCCAGCTGCCTGTGCTGCACATCCGAGTGTGCCTAGCACCCCCTGGTGGATTGGAAGGATATTGTGTCTTCCTTAAAGTGACAGGAAAGTGAAATGTGGCTCATTTTGGTGAAGGTGGGCAAACGTGACCCTTAACTTCATCTGATACACCTGCATCTGATGCACATCTCAGGCCTTCCCATCTGATCATTCACTTCCCTGCACAAGGGAGAGCTCACCTCTCGCCCCTCCAGACTTCCATCCTTCTCTGCTGGAGAAAGGAGTAAGCCTGTGGCTCTTCAGCGGCTGTACATCCATGACCCAGAGGGCGTTCCACAGCAGGAGCAGCTTCGTGGGATCAGACTCCATGCCCCATGATACTGCTTAGCACCTTCCACTCTGTCCTCAGCCATCATCCACTCCCCCCCACCCCCCTCTGGCCCACACATTCTTTATAATTACAAAATACCTGCTTAATAAAATAGCAGAGGCAGAGGACAGCTATTGCTGCATGATAACACGGAGAATGAATCCTTTTATCTGGAAATGCTCTTATCAGTTAGAAGAGTGGTTCTCAACTAGGGGCAATTTTGGCCCCCAGGGGACTTTGGCAATGTCTAGAGATATTTTTGGTTGTCAACACTGGGGCAGGAGTGCTACTGGCATTTACTGGTAGAGTGCTGCTTAAACATCTGTTTTGAGAGGTTTGGTGGATTCGATCAGAGATGTAAAAGAAACTTTCCAACCCAGACGAATGGACTGAATGTAGACTTTATTATATAGGGAAGGGTAAAGGCAAAGGCAGCAAACAGATCCGAATAGGTCAAATATCAATTGGGAAAAACATCAGGTTGATCAAAAAGGGAAACGTCAGATCGACCAAGATAGAAGCAGATCCGAATAGGTCAAATAACAAGAGGGGAAAAACATCAGATCAATCGAAAAGAGAAACATCAGATTGACGGAAAAGAGAAACATCAGATCGGGTACTCACAACATCCACGCCCTTACACCGGGGAGAGTCCCTTCAGTTGACATGGCTAGGCGGGAGTTCCGATCGACAGTGGTCCTGGGCAAGGCGTCCCCCCCACAGGTGAGACTCTCATCAAGCCCCAGTCCTCAGCAGCTTATATAGTAGGCGCAAGTTTCAGAGTAAGCTTTCGCAGAGTAAGCATTTGGTGTTCTCATGCACAAATAGTTATCAGTGTTGTACGTGCATTGAGTCCCGTGGCTATCGTCCCAGCCTGGCACAGATGGCCAGTCCGCTCCGCGTTATGACGCCCAAAGAGTCTTGTAATCTTATAAATTGCAACTATCTCCGTGGGAGAAGGGCCAGTCCCCGAGAGAAGGGCCAGTTCCCACCACACAGAAAGCTGCTTTATATTTCTTTGTGTGCTGGTGACTGTAGGTCCATGGAATGGCCAAACATGGCTGTACTCATGTTAAGACAACATCCTACAATGCACAGGACAGCCCCTCATAACAAAGAGTCACCTAGCCCTAAATGTCAATAGCGCCGAGGTTAGGAAACCCTGATGTAGAGTATTTTGGCACATATTGTTCCACTTGTGTTATTTCCTTGGGAGGCCATATAATATAGTTGCAAGAAGTTCAGACTTTGGGGTCAGACTCCCTGGGTTAGAACTTGGCCTCCCACTTACTGGCGATGTGCCTCTCTCTCTGTCTCCTCGTTTGTAAAATGGAATGAGGGTTGTTGTCAGTGTAAAGTGATAACATGCTGCTGCTGTTGCTGGCCCAGCATCCAGTGATGAAGGTCCTGGGAAGCCGTGGCCTGAACCCAGGTCTCCTGACTTCAAGACCCACTCGCAGTCTCCTCTTCCAGCCATCCCTTCCTCCCCTAGAGTTTTCAGGGAAGAGGAACTTTGACAGTTGAGCTTGTCCTGGAGGGACACAATCCTTCTAACTTGTCACTGGCCGTGAGAGCTTTGCTCCTTATATCACGTGGAGTACCTCCTGCGTGTTCACATAAAGTCAAGAGGATCAGGAGCGCGAGTCTGTGTCTGAAAACATGGGGGTGAAGCTCTGTGGATAATGGTGACGGGAAGAATAGAATGTGAAGCTTGCACACAGCATATTCTCACCCAGGTTGTGCTGTTACCTCTGGTCACTGGCACTGATTTTCCTTTCTTCTTTCTACTTTTCTACATTTGCTAGATTTTGTATTATGAGCATGTGTTACCTTTATAATTGCTAAATGGAAAAGGTGCTCTTTAAAAAGAAGTAAAGTGAAGAGTGAAAGTTGGAGAGGTGGCAAACGTTACAAAACAAAATTCAACTGAGTAAACTTTAAAGATCTTATTGGCTTTATTCAACAATTCATGAACCAGGCAGCATCCCAGCTGGCAGAAAGAAAGGACCCCCAAAGAGCTGTACAAGGCAAGAGATTTTATAGGCAGAAGGGAGCAGGAAGAAGGAGGTCATACTAGGCAAAAAAAACGGATTGGTTATTGCAAGGTTACTCTACCTGTAGGGGACGGCAGGGCTCTATCAGGCAGATGACCTAACTAATGCTGATAAGGCAATTCCTAATTGGCTGGTTTAAGATTCTATTTCTAGGGGACCTGACATTGTTATTAAGTCCAAGTTTGATGGTGTGGGGGTTAGTTAGCATGAGTTACTCCATTTTGGGCCTGCTTTTTTTTTGTTTGTTTGTGTTTTTTTCTTGTGAGGAAGATCAGCCCTGAGCTAACATCCTATGCCAATCCTCTTTTTGCTGAGGAAGACTGGCCCTGGGCTAACATCCGTGCCCATCTTCCTCTAGTTTATATGAGACGACGCCACAGCGTGGCTTGACAAGCAGTGCATCAGTGCGCGCCTGGGACCGAACCCGAGAACCCCGAAGCGGAGCGCACATACTTAACCACTATGCCACCGGGTCCACCCCCTGTTGTTTTTAACAAGAAATACATGTGTTTGGGGAAGAAAAAGTGACCTCAGTTTAATCCTTACGGTGGCCACAGGAGGCACTAATTTATCCCTCCCACTTTTCAAATGAAGAAACTGCAGCCCCAGGTGGTTCTGGGGGATTTGGAAGTTGCCTTAGGTTGGAGGGAGAGCCTAGGTCCGTAGAACACGGCATATCTGTGACAGGGGAGGCGCGAGCACATGTTGAGGCTGCTTTGTGCTCAGAGTTAGGATATTTAAACCAGAGCGTGTGCACAGCGGTTTAAACCTCGGTTGCCTGAGCGGTGAGGGGGATTGGGGCCCTGCCCCATGGGACAGCTCAGAGCCTCCTGTCCAAATGCCACATCTCCATGCTGGTGTCCCCTCGCCTCTTCAATTTCTCCTCTCCTGGGACAGAAGCAGATGGTAGCTGAGCGAGAGAAGGTAGGGGCGGAGTTTCAGGCGCTGCGGGCCTTCTTGGTGGAGCAGGAGGGCCATCTCCTGGGCCGCCTGGAGGAGCTGTCCAGGGAGGTGACACAGAAGCAGAATGAGAACCTGGCCCAGCTGGGTGGCGAGATCGCCCAGCTCTCTAAGCTCAGCAGCCAGATCCAGGAGACCGCGCGCAGGCCTGACCTCGACTTTCTCCAGGTAAGTCTGGCTCAGCCTGGGGTTTGAGTCTTTTATCCTGCGGCACCGTGAACGGCAGTGAGAACACAGTCAGATCCTGTGAGTTTAGTAGAATCACACTATCTGGGGCCGAAGAGGTTGAAAGGGATGTGATAAAACTTTCTTGACCATGAGCCACAACAATATACCTTACATTGTATTCCAGCATATACACACTTGAGACAAAAGTCTCGGAAAATAACACTTGCCTTTACTATATGTGATGCACTTTTATGTTTGCTATTCTATTTTATTTCCTTTTAAAATAGTCACAATCCAGTAAATAAACTTCACAAGTCACAAATGGATCAAGAACAGCCATTGGAAAGACACTGGTCTGAGTGACCAGTCGTTGCTTAAGGGCTGTGACTTGTCTTGAGTGGTGTCAAGAGCAGAGGCATCAGTGGGTCCTAGCGTATGGCTCCAGTGAAAATTCTGTAATGGAGAGAGCATTTTCAGAGTTGTGGGAAGGGTCAAGGGGTCCCCCACATTGACGAGACACCCAGTGGCCAGCCACAGCGGGAAGCCATTACCCCTGGGCCCATGCAAGAGGTGGGGCTTGGTCCATCTGCTTATTGCTTATTCCTCTGGAAGCAGGGCAAGGGCCAGTTTTATTTTCTCAAAGGTGAATGGAGGTTACCTGATGCTGATTGGGTTTTCTTTCATCTTTCTTTCCAGGAATTCAAAAACACACTAAACAGGTGAGTAGACCTAACAATTCCTTGGGCCTCTCTAAGCTGGCTCTTCTCCTTTTCCACTGAGCTCTCTTCTTCATTCTCTACCCCACTCTCTCACCTCCTGAGCCCCCCACTGCCTTACCTGGGTACCTTCTGAGGCAAATGTCCACCTACCTGGCTGTGGGTATTCCAGCAAAAGGTCAGCCCCTCCTTTTTCCACTTCTCTCCACCAAGAGGACCTCACCATCCTAATTGTCACAGGTGGGAGTGTGACAGTGTTTGTGGGCCTTCCTCAAGGTCTTTGTCCTGCAGGTGCAGCAATGTGCCTGGCCCCAAGCCAACCACAGTCTCTTCTGAGATGAAGAATAAAGTCTGGAATGTTTCCCTCAAGACCTTTGTCTTAAAGGGGATGCTCAAAAAGTTCAAAGGTATGTGGGGGCTGGGCCATTCAGGTGGCAGGGTGTGTTTCTGGTAGTTGAGGGTCTGGAAAGGATGTGCCTTTCCAGAAGCTGTGTGAGAAGACAGGAGCTGGGATGTGTCAAGGCCAGACTGGTCCGCAGGGAGTTGGCAGGTCTTTCCAGGCCCCCGCAGGGCACGAAGGAACAGTAGCGGTAGAGGGGTGTTGGGGCAGAAAGACGGGTGAGGAGGGAGAGTTCAGTTCAGGCAAGCTCCAGGCAGAAGAAGGAGGACCGGGGCAGGTAGAGCTAGAATACTGGCCCCTTGCTGCTCCCAGGCTTGACCCAGGTCTGCACATCAACTCTTGGCCTCTGGGGTGTCTGGGGAGTGAGGAGCCAGTGGGGCTATAAATGTCAGAGGAGGTGGTGACACTGTCATTGCCAGATAGATCTCCTGTGTCATTCATGCACACCCTGCTTTGTTTTTCCTCCTCAGAGGATCTTCGGGGAGAGCTGGAGAAAGAGGAGAGAGGTATGATGGTTGTTGTGATTATGAGTACCCATTATTTGGCTACTTAGAGTATCTACTCCCTGCCAGTGACTGTCTCTCTGGGCTTTATGTATGGTTGGTTCCTTCTGCCTGCCTGCCTCAGCACCTCTGCTGTCTGCTCCCCTTTCCTTGTCATCCTCACCTCCAAGTTCTGGCTCCCTCAGGCCACAGGGGGGCCTGTAGGCCTATAAACTGTGGGTCAGTCACTTGGACGAGCATCTCTCCTGTCCCCACTCCCAAACAGACGGAGGATGTCCCAAACAGGACATCCTGTCCTGGGCATGGGATGTGTGCAGGGGTCAGGGGAAGTAAGAGGAGACTGAATACGGAGAGGCAGGTGGTTCTTATTCCTGCAGAACTCTGGGGTGAGTGGGCTCCAACCCCAAGAGGAGGGCAGGAGAGGGGAGGGCACATATTCCTGATGCTGATGACCAACCAAACAAAGTCAGAGTTTACCTGGGAAGATCCTAAACCAATTGAGTCAGACCATGCCCCTCCTCTGCTCAGAACTCTGCGACAGCCCCTCTCATTCAGTAAAGTCCTCACCGTGGCCTTCCAGGCCCCATGGGATCTGGCTTCCCTGCACACTCTCTCCTTGGCTCACTCTGTGCAGCCACACACCCTCCTTGCTGCTCCTGGAATGCACCAAGCACACACCTACCTCAGGGCCTTTGCATTGCACTGTCTGTGCCTTGACCTGGAATACGCCTTCCCCAGACAGCTGCATATCTTGCTTCCTCACCTCCTTTATGTCTGCGCAAATGCACCTTTTCAGTGAGGCCTTCCTTGGCTACTCTAGTTGGAATTACAGCCTGTTTCCCTGGTCCCTCTTATCTTGCTTATCATTTATTGTCTCTCCTCTCCCTTCCCCCAGAAAGGAAGTTACAGGAGGGTAGGGACACTGGGCTGTGGGATTCCCAGGGCCTAGAACTGGCCTGGAACAGAGCAGTACTTACAACACACGTGCATATTTTAACTTTTCATTATGTAAAAATTTTAAAAATACACTAAAGTAGAGAGAAGAGCATAACAAATATTGTGTACTCATCATACACCTTCAGCAATTATCGACTCTTGACTCATATTTTTCATAAACAACCTTACCCACTTCTTCCTACTGGATTATTTTGAAGCAAATCACAGATAAGTATCATTTCCGTAATGTCGCAGTATGTTATCTCTAAAGAGACTTTTAAAAAGATAACCACAAAACCATCATCATAACTAAAAACTAATGATTCTTTCCAATAGCTAGTGTTCGAAATTCCCCAATTGTCTTTTAAATTGAATTTGTTGATCTGTTTGAATTGGGATCCAAATCAGGTCCATTTGTTTGATTTCAACACGTACTTGTTGAGCGGAGGGAAAAAATAGGTAAGGGGGGGGCTGTGCCAGAGGCCTGCCTGGGACGTCTCTGCCTGTCTCGGCCGCAGTGGAGCTGACCTTGGACCCGGACACGGCCAACCCCCGCCTCATCCTCTCTCTGGATCTTAAGAGCGTGCGGCTGGGACAGCGGGCCCAAGACCTGCCCAGCCACCCGCGCCGCTTCGATACCAACACGCGAGTCCTGGCGTCCTGTGGCTTCTCCTCGGGGCGGCACCACTGGGAGGTGGAGGTGGGCGCCAAGGACGGCTGGGCCTTCGGCGTGGCCCGCGAGAGCGTGCGCCGCAAGGGCCTCACCCCCTTCACCCCGGAGGAGGGCGTCTGGGCGCTGCAGCTCAACGGCGGGCAGTACTGGGCGGTGACCAGCCCCGACCGGACGCCCCTTAGCTGTGGGCACCTGTCCCGCGTGCGGGTGGCCCTGGACCTGGAGGTGGGGGCCGTGTCCTTCTACGCTGCGGAGGACATGCGCCACCTCTACACCTTCCGCGTCAACTTCCATGAGCGCGTGTTCCCCCTTTTCTCTGTCTGCTCCACCGGCACCTACTTGCGAATCTGGCCTTGAGGGGCATCGGCCCGCCTCCCAGACGGGATGTCAGTCAAGGGTGAGCTCCTCCTTGTCCTGCTGCTTATGGGAAGGGATGTTGCTGTCCACGGGAGCCTCGGGGTCACTTTGGGTCTGCCCTCCACTCTCCTGCCCCAGGCTGCCTTAGAGGGGCTTCTGCAGACCACAACATCCGAGGTATGAGAATGGGCAACTGGGGAAAAGGCTCAGTGATCAACTGAGCAGAGGAAGAGATGCCTAGGACCCTTGGGGCCTGTCCTCTGCCTGTTGTCCAGGGGCGTGTGCATTTGGCTACAGTTGTGAGGAGGTACACACAGGTGAGGACAAGAGCCCAGCTCCTGACAGGTGCTTCCTATCACTGGGGCTTACTGCCCAGACTCAGCAGGGCCTGGTGCTGAACAACACCACACCAGGTCCTGTGCTGTTCTCAGTTGCAAGGGGGTGGTTCACACCCAGCCAGCCAGGTTCAGTTCTGCTTTGCCTTCTTGTCAGGTGCGAGCCTTGCCTTCAGAGACCTGAATCCAACTGGCCCGATGAAGTCATCTACTCAGGGAGGAGCACTGTACTTCCAGCTCAGAGGACAGCCTGGGCCAGAACTGGAAGGAGACCCTTGACCTGTACATGAGGAAAAGTCCAGGACAACAGCATGTAGGCACTGCTGCCCTTCAGCACTCCTTAACCCGATGATACAAAGTGACACATGTGTCCTCAGCCACAGTGACAGCCAACACCTGTTTTCACAGATGCCTAACCCCCTTTCAAGTGCCAAAGTACAGTCTCCCTTGGGTAAGGAGACCAGAAATTCTGGAATTTTGAAACACAAGACAGCACTTATAATTTTACAGATGCAACTAACACCAGAATGGAAATGCACAGAGCACAAACATGCCCCTGACAAATCCTTTCTGGAACTTGCCAAATGTATGCCAACAGCAGAGGACCCTGGTGCCAAGGCCTGCTCAGCCTGTGCCCTGGACGGTGTGATCCCCTTGGCTAATTGTTCCCCAGCTTCAGTGTGGCTGGGATTCTGGGAGGGGTGGTGGGCTGTCCCTTGCTTAGTGTTCCCCAGGGATGGGGGGTGGGGAGATGGAAATACAGACTGTGAGCTCATTTCTAGGGTGGTTTGGCTCATTCTCGACTCCCCCAGGCTGAGTGCAAGAGCACAGGTGTGAGCAAGGGTTTCTGCCAGGCTGGTGGAGTATGTGTGTTCATGTGTGTGAGAAATGTGTGCACATGTGTTTATATCAGACTGCAGGGGCAGGGGGCATGTGGATCTTGGAGAAGGCATTTATGAGCACATGCATAGAGTTTAGGTGTGGCAAGCAGACTTTGGTTTCCTCCCCTGCTACCTGGCTAGATGAAAGCCAGTCTCAGACGTAATTCTGTCCTGCACAAGTTGTTCAGATAGATGTGTTGGCATCCAGGGACAGTGACAGTCGAATAGTCTGCAGGTGTCATAGAGCCTCCGTGTTCTGTCCCTTGAGAAGCAGCTTTGCATACACTTTGCATACGTGGTTCTTGTAGGGCAGGCAGGATACTGTTCTAGAGGCAGACCCAGTGCACATAGCACTAGGCAATCAGAATCCAGTGTCCTACAGGCTGGGGACAGGACCATTTAAGAGTCTAGCCTACAGCAGAATCCAGAGGATGAATCCGATGTCTGTTCATATGGACAGTACCTCTAGAACACTGTAGCCAATCCATGTATTTGAATACCACTGATTCCCACAAGGAAACCCATTTTCTAACATTCATTTGCTAATGAAATTGCCTAGTTTTACCATCAAGCCCTGATGTTATCTGGGCTCATATGGCTTTTGGATTGAGTGTCACAGTTACCCCTCAGATCATTTAACAACTGTGCTGAAGTACTGCAACACATATTACAGGTCACAGAAGGTGGGGTGTCTCGTGGAGGCGCCTGGAGGGCCAGCACTAGGGACCGTAGGGATGGCTGTGTGTGTATTTTCAACAGCTGTGTTTGTGAGTGTGGCCATGTGTCTATCAGAGGAGATGTGTTTGCAGAGTAACTGCACAGATATCTGTATATCTGAAGAGATACAACAATAGCTACAGGGGCAGCCATGTGTGGAGGCTGAAAGATGTTCTCTCGGTCATCAAGGCAGCATGGTGACTCTGGATGTCACAATGTTGGTTTGAGAGTATGCATGTGTGTGCGTTTCCCTCTCCCGTCCTTTGGGCATCATAAGGTCTCTGAGATCTCTGGTCTCTGAGAGCAATGACTGGCCTAACTTGGGCTCTTCTGACCCCACCCATTAGTCCCAGATCCTTGTGAACTGCAGGTCCCTCCACTAGACCCTCACACAGCTCCTCAGCATCCAGACTGGAAGGCACCCATGGCCTGCCTCTGGCCTGGCCACCCAGTGACCTAAGCCACCTGGCCTTGCAGGGATCACAGGGCAGGTTGGGCCACCAAGCCAAGGTCCATCATCTACAGCCACCACTTTCTGACCACTGCCAGGCTAGGACGCCTGTCCCTCACCTGGGCACTCACCCTCCATCTCTGCCATGACCCTGCGGGGCCCTTTTGGGGGCCCTGACAGGACCAGCTCCCCAAAAGTCCAAGGCAGACTCTAAGGGTTGCCTTTTCGTAATTTGCCTAAAGGTGCGGTAGGGGCTGGGGGTCCCCAGCCCTGACCCAATCCTTCTCAGCCCTGTTACGTCCTCACACCCCGACCGTCTGATTTCCCCATCACTCTCTCTCGATCAGCCTCTCCCTCCTGATCCCCCACTCCTTCCTCACCGCCCAGCCCACCTCACCAGCCCAGACCTGGATTCCCCTCAGGACAGGTCTAGTGACACCCTACCCTAACTCCTCTCTCCAGCCCTGACCTCGGACCGCCATACTTACGCCAATGAGCCGCATACCGGCCTGCGCAACCGGTCCTCGCCTCCGACCCCAGCCCCACCCAGGACCCGGGCCCTCCTCGCACTCCGCCTGCCGGAGGCCCCGCCCTCCCGCGGCGCGCCCCGCCCTCACCCCATCCCCCACAGCGCGTGCTCGCGCGCTGGCACCGCCCGCCGTATCTCCGCCGAGCTCCCTCCCAGGATGAGGCTCGGCCCACGGCACCGACGCTTATTGACGCCGCGGGTGAGGCGGCGGCGGCCCGGTGAGACCCTCACCGGCTGAGAGACGCCGGCCCCGCCTCTTGCCATTTAGTTCTTCCATGTAGTTGTCTGCGGCTGCGCGGCGAGGCTAGCTGCATCAACTGCTCGTGCGCAGGAAGTCTGCTCGCAACTGGCTCCATAGCTCAGGGGTTAGAGCACTGGTCTTGTAAACCAGGGGTCGCGAGTTCAAATCTCGCTGGGGCCTTGATAACTTTTTTCCTTTCTCCAGCCTTTCCTGAAAGGTGGAGAAGCGGAAGATGCCCAGACCAACACGAATTTCCACCTTTCTGGGAGATCAGACCCCAGCGGAGCTTCTTGTTTTTTGCCTCTCAGGTGGCCGCCGCCCAGTGGCCCCTCCCTCCCGTCGGCTTACTTCTCGAAGAGCCAGACTCACTGCGTCCTCGGCCTTGCGATCACAGGCTCCGCACCTTAGGTCCTACGCGCCTTCTCTCCCGTGGTCCCTCGCTCGCTTCCTTCTGCGCGCGCTCTCGGCGAGTTCGGGGCGGGTCTTTCCGTTCCCCTCCTGTCGTCCCACTCGGACCTGGGGCTCGCCCTCCTCTCATTCTTCTTCATTGCGTGGTGACTACTTTTGCACCCCCTAAGCACCCTGGGAATCTACTGTTTTAGTCGGGAGGGGGCTATGTTTAAGCCCCCGGGTACACGCCGTTGGTCCCGCAATCTGGCTTCTGTAGTAATCTGGCCTTCCGGTAGGGCAGGAGCACAGAGGTCCACGCATCCCAGGCCCAGTCGCGCAAGTGCCCGAACACGCCCGCGGGCTCCTGGCCTATGGGGGCGAGCGCGTTCGGGTCGGTCTTGCTGCAAAGTCTGGATGGGAGCAGGCCTGTGTGAGGGAGGGAAACGGTCCCCCCTCCGCCACCCTACTCACCCACTCCATTCACCCCTTCTCCGGCGTCTAAGCGGGTTCCCGCGAGTGCTTTCGTCTCCTTGCGTTCTGTTTTCGAACCCTGAGCGGCCCTAGAGCACCGCCGGGAGTCAGCCTGTCCCCAGGAGGCGCGGCTGGAGACGGGGCTCCTGCGGTCTGGGAAGGTGCGGCCGGGCAATGGTCAGCCTCTGCCGAGGCCGAGGCCGCCTGGGGCGTTCAGGTTCGCCCAGGCCGCGGCAGGAGGGCGCCTCGAGACACCCCCCCAACCCCCCGGGCCTGGCTCTGCCCGTCAGGCAGCGCCCCCGCTGTTCACAAGGATTTGGGCTCATTTTGTACACTTGCCTTCCGTTAGCAGCAATCAATCAAAGTCAGAAGGTCAGGGGCCGCCGGTGGCACAGCGGTTAAGTTCGCGCGCTCCGCTTTGGCGGTCCGGTTCGCCGCTTCGCATCCTGGGCGCGCGCTCGTCAAGCAGTGCTGAGGCTCGTCCCCCATAGAAGAGCTAGAGAGACCTACAACTAGGATATACAGCTATGCACTGGGCCTTTGGGGGGGAAAACGTCAGAAGGTCAGCATAAATTAGTTGTGTGTCTTTTTGTTTAGAAGAAAAACTAAATGGTTGTTAAAAAAAAAAGACTGGAAGAGAATGTGACAAAGTCATTAGGTCAGTCTTTACTGTCACAGATGTGGACGTCTGTTTGCATTTTTGTTTATATAATTCCATAGAGAAGAAAAGCGATAGTGACGAGGGGCCGAGGACGCACGGTCGCCGACCACAGAGGAGAGCCCACCTAAAGCTCAGTGCGCGTGGGGGGAGCCAGGACGACGCTGCGTGGGCAGCGGGCGCGCCGGCATCGTGGTCTGCGAGGAGGAGGCCGAGAGGAGGAGCGGCAAGCGGAGCGGTCAGCGCACAGGAGTGAGCACGCTCGCGGAGAGGGGCAATGGGACAATGAGCACTTTTTCCCTCAGAGTGGGTTAACCACTACCCATCTCCCACGCTGTTGTGTAACAGCCATCTGTGTAGGGAATTTCTCTGCTGCTGGCACAAAAATAAACCTTTAGGCCAGCTCTGAGTGGATCTTCCTGAATTTTACAGCATGGGATCAGAATCACTGTTTTACGATTAAATAACCCAGTGCAATTAAATCCTTTGGGAGAGAGCAGGTCCGAGACGAGGGAGGAGGAGAGCGCTCCCACAGTCCAGGCCTCTGGTTTGCCGGCGCGGCGTCAGCTCCGGGGTAGTCCCGGGAGAGCGCGGCGAGGGCGGAGAGCTGGGCACGGGGCGGGCGCCGCGCGTGTGCACGCGCACGGGTGCGAGGGTCGGGGGCTGCGCACCCACCACCGCGGCCAGTCACTCTCGAGGCAGCTGGGTTCCTGGTGATCTCATTTCTCCCTTACATTTCCCTACATTTTCTGAACGTTTTGCAAATAAGTATATGTTGTTTTTAGTATCTTCATAAACCGATAAAGAAAAGCCCCCGCCCCTTTACCACGCGGCCCACATGAAGGGACTCTACCCGGGTTTCATTTCGCCAGTCGCGGCTTAAGACCCAGTCCGTCCCGCGTCCCCTCCAAGCCCAGCGTCCGGTCTCTCCAGGCGCCCTCCGGCTCTCCGGGTCTCTGCGCGCCGCCCCCGGGCCCCCAGACTTGCGCCTTATTTGGGCTCCTTTGGGAGGGGGCTCCCAGTCCCCAAAGAGGAAGGATGCCCCTGCCTGCTACCCCAGTAGCCCTAGCAGTGAGGCACTCATTCGGATTCCAGGAGATCTTAGAGAGGCCCAGGGATACGGAGCGTTTACGCTGCGCGAGCTACCTGGGGCTGAGAGTTCACCGCGGACGCGGAGACGGCCGGGCAGGGATAGGGTGGGCGTGAGGGACACGTGGTTCAACATGTCGGAAATTAAGATCCGCTTTCTCGGTGATGAAACGCCTCCCTATAGAATGGGATCAGGGACCCAACCAAAAGGTACTGCGGCAGCAGGCTCGTTGGTCTAGGGGTATGATTCTCGCTTTGGGTGCGAGAGGTCCCGGGTTCAAATCCCGGACGAGCCCGCCTTTCCATTTGCCTTAGCTAGTAGTAACTAAGTTTTTTTGCTTCTTGGACAGTTTTGGTCCTGGGCAGGCAGTGGACATCACCAAGAGTGCCGGGAGGGCTGGGGATCGGTAGGAAAG